TTTCCTCCCAATCTCAGGCCTCTCCATTACGGAAGTCTGAGATTTAAAAAGCTAGCAAAACTGCAACTTCAAAAGCTAAAGGAAAGGAAAAATGACAAGAAAAACAAATAAATTTTGAAAGTTTGGAATTTTGAATGATTAAATACATTTTTTAAAATGTCATGCCAGGCTCATGAAGCAGGTTTTTGGAAGAGAGATGTCAATGCCTGGTAGGGTGTCGTCCACAAGAAAGCCCCTTACTCCACGTCATTGAAGCGATTCAACATGGGCAAATTTGACAGATCCCATCCCACGTGGGGTTATTTTGCTGCTTTTTCCAGTTATATATCAATTTCTGACCTCGGAAGATGATCCCTGGCCATCTCCTCCCTACCCTCTCCAATTTTCTAGAATTTTTAAAACACTTTGCTGACAATTTATGACAGGAGCAGACAGGAAGTCCCCCTGCGTCATGGGGAAGGGCTCCATCGCACATCAACATCTTTCCGTTTTCAAAGGGTCTAGAAACTGGAGAGGGGGGAACTGCATGGGATAACATCCTGAGTCACTGTGTTGTCCAAAAACTTAGTCGAAAAGTAGAGCCCTAAAAACGGGGCTCAGATGGATGATCTCTCGATATCCCACTTGAATTTAGTAGCAAGGCCACCCCTCCTTTTGCAGGGAAGGCTCAACCTGGCTTTCATCCTTTCTACCAACACACAATGAGCACAGAGAAGCATAGGACTTACTCATCAGCCAAGCTGCCAGGCAAAACAATAGATTGGAATGCTTGATAATAACTCAGTTGGCAGTCAGTCATCCAGGGACATAATAAACCCCTCTCAACGTGAATGGAAGGCATGCTAGATTTGATATTCGCCCTGGCATTGCTTCTTTGATCAATGAAGCAATAAAGGCCACCTCTTACTCTGCCCTCATCTTTCCAAGTCATGATTCAGAAACATGGGAGCTTGCCTACCGGGAACAAATCCCGGAATTCAGGACAACAATTATGCTGGGCCTATGGGCTTATTAATAAAAGACCCTCCTCATAATACACAGCAGAGTAACTTAGCAGCAGCATGACCCAGCACCAGTAGCCAAAAGTGATAAAAAGAACAAAAACACACAGACCAATGTTATCTCTTCCGTAGGAGGCATTTCTTTATAGCAAAATAATATGGTTGCACTATTTACAAGAACACGGTTTCCATGACACAAAAATTAAGTTCAGCCTTCACACACGAGGCCTTCTCATACAGAGGCCTACCTCACACTCTGAGGCCTTTCTCCCATGGTGAGGCCTACTACCACTGAGACCTATTCTCCCACTGAGGCTTCTCTCGCACTGAGAGCTCTCCCAGACTGAGGCATTACTAAGTAATAGGCACACCTGCTTATATTGAACTACAGCTTTTTGCTGAGTCATTGTATCTATTTAACCCTTTCAGCGCTTGACTCACATTTTTGTAATTAAAAATACCTTGTTAATTGTTAATTGGCGTGGGCTGGTCCATGAGGTCACGAAGAGTCGGAGACGACTGAACAAATGAACAACAACAACAATTGTTTAATATTTCTGACAAATTATATTAAAGAATTCCAAGTACCCGACCAAACTACAAATCCTAGCATTCTCAACTATCATCATCATCATCATCATCATCATCATCATCATCATCTTTAATTACTTATTAATCGCCCTCCATCCGAGATGCTCTAGGTGATTTACAAGCTAAATTGTAAAAGATAAAAATACATACAGAAATTAATGATTAACATAGATAAATGCTCTATAAAGCCATGGCAGTCAGAATGTAGACATACCATGCAATTGGTATTAATATTGTGCAGGCCTCTAGATATCATTGAACTGCAATTCTTGGCAATCTTTAGCATTGGCTATGCTGTCTAGTGCAGATGGGACTTGCACTTCAACATCATTTGGAGAACCATATTCTTCCCACATGAAGCACTAAGATGCAATCTCCCATCGTCATCGGTATCATTCAATCATGTTTCCATGCAACACCATTGCTATGAAAGATGTAGTTCAACCAGTTGTGCATTACATATCACAATGGAGAACATTCCTCTGGTCCAGATAGATGGAGACTTTACTTCTCAGTCCTTGCTGTGGTCAATACGTCCAAAATACCATCCTGCACACCTTTTTTGCCAAAGAGACCTGCTTGGCCCCCCATCCACCTGCACAGGGTGGCGCCAGGTGCATTGCCTGTCGGTCACCTTTTAAACCAGGTTTAATGAAAAATATCCCTGCCCTCTGTGGTTGGAGTTGCTGCTGTGGAGCAGGGAGGGAGAGCTTGTTTTTCCTCCCTGCAGATGCCTGCCTCTCAAGCCCTCATGTGGGCCTCCAAACAAATGGCCCATTGTTCCTGGTGCCCTTATGGCTAGGAAGCGAAGGGGAGGGGGCAAGGAGAGACCTGCTATGGCTCCTTTAGCCGATTAGCCTTATTAATAGAAATTAAACCCCCGTCTGCAAGCACTGAGAGCTCCCCCATGCTTCCTTTCCTACCTGCGTGCTTTTGCTCCTTCCTCCCCCTCCTTGGACAGGAATGTATAGATAAGGGAAGGCGAGAGGGAGAGACAGTAAGAAGCTTAGAGGATTAGAAAGCAAGACCTTTCACTTCTGGGACTTGTGAGGATAGGTATTAAAACCTACCTGGGCTCAGCGGTGCCACAAGTGCTGGCTTGGTTTCCCTCCCTACAATGGCCCAATCTCACCTTGCCACCCTCAGGAATATTGTGCCAGAGGAATGCCTCCTCCTTATACTAGTTGTTGTTTTGGATTTAACCTGAGGTCGCATTCTATAGCACATAATTCACAACTGCAGTACTATATATCTCTTTAAGTGCCATGACTTCATCCTATGGCAGTGGTTCTCAACCTTCCTAAAGTCGCAACCACTTAATATAGCTCCTCACGTTGTGGTGACCCCCAGACATAAAATTATTTTTGTTGCTACTTCACAACTGAAGGTTTGCTAGTGTTATGAACTGTAATGTAAATATTTGATATGCAGGATGCATTTTCATTCACTGGACCAAATTTGGCACAAATATCCGATACACCCAAATTTGCACACTGGTGGGTTTGCGGGGAGGGTATTGATTTTGTCATTTGGGAGTTGTAGTTGCTGGGATTTATAGTTCACCTACAATTAAAGAGCATTCTGAACTCCACCAATGATGCATTTGAACCAAACCTTGCACACACAACTCCCATGACCAACAGAAAATACTGGAAGGGCCTGATGGGCATTGATCTTGAGTTTTGGAGCTGCAGTTCACCTACATCCAGAAAGCACTGTGGTCTCAAACAATGATGGATCTGGACCAAACATGGCACAGATACTCAAAATATCCAAATGCGTACACTGGTGGAATTTGAGGAAAATAGATCTTGAGATTTGGGAGTTGTAGTTGCTGGGATTTATAGTTTGCCTATAATCAAAGAGCATTTTGAACCCTACCTATGATAGAATTGGGACAAACGTCCCACACAGAACCCCCATGACCAACAGAAAATACTGAGTTTTTGGTGATCTTTGGCGGCCCCTCTGGCACCCTTTTGCGCCCCCCCCCCCCCCCGGCTTCCGACCCTCAGGTTGAGAAACACTGTCCTATGGGGTTGTAATTGGCTGAGGCTGATGAGCTCTCTGGTAGAGAATTCTAGATCTTCCTTCCTGAACTGCAAATTCCTGGTTTCCATAGGTTGGAACCAGAGCAGTTAAAGTAGAATATGTTGTTGTTGTTGTTGTTTGCCCTCAAGTCATTTCTGTCTTAAGGGTACCCTAGGGTAAACCCATCACAGGGTTATCTAGGGCTGAGAGTGTGTGACTTACCCAGGGTCACCCAATGGGTTTTCATGGCAGAGCAGAGACTCATATCATGGCCTCTACAGTTGTAGTAGAATACTGAAACCATTACACCATGCTGGCTCTCTACAATTATATAGCACTATATAATTGTGTGGTGTGAACCAGATGCTGCTGAACTGCAGTTCCTAGCATCCATTACCATGGTCATGGAAGTTCTGTGTGGGAAGTTTGGCCCAGTTCTATCATTGCTGGGATTCAGAATGCTCTTTGATTGTAGGTGAACTATAAATCCCAGCAACTACAACTCCCAAATGTCAAGTTTCTTCCCCAAATTCCACCAGTATTCACATTTGGGCATATTGAGTATTCGTGCCAACCCCAAATGTAGGCGTATCAGGTATTTGTGCCAAATTTGGTCCAGGATGAAAATACATCCTGTATATCAGATATTTACATTATGATTCACAACCATAGCAATATTACAGTTATGAAATAGCAACGAAAATAACGTTATGGTGGAGGGTCACCACAACATGAGGAATTGTATTAAAGGATTGTGGCATTAGGAAGTTTGAGAACCACTGGTTTAGAGCTAACTGACTTTTAAAAAATCAGGAGCCTCTTAGAGTTCATTAAGAGCTGTTTCATCTGCACTAATTGAACATCAGCAAGGTGTCTTGATATATAGTATGCAGTCATTTTTTAAAGTGTCTGCAGATGGAGCTATTGATTTGCTTAAAGGACGGTTCCAGTTTAAGGGAGGACAGTCATAATAGGGACAATCTCAAATAGTTTGGAAATGTCAAGGATAAAGGTTACTTCTTACCTGTATTGGTTGTTCTCGCCCCAGATGTAGCTGTTTTCTAAAGGTTAGTGCGCAAACATGAAACTTCTTTGCTTCTCATACAGAATCCTGGGCATGTTGAACACTTCAATTTTTCCTGCGTTGGGAGTGCAGTTTTCTCTGCCCTCATTCTCCTTTCCTAAAGCTGCATCACTGTTGCATTTATAAGGTTGTCCTGGGCAAGGCCAATGCTCCAGTCCTCAAAACCTGTAGGGAAACACCAAGAGGTGAGAAGAAGGGGGCTTAGTCATTCCTCAGGCCTTTTCCCATCAGCTCCTTGCTATGGAGAAGCAGGATTACTGGCATGCAAGTCCTGTTCCTTTCTCATTGGCCAGGAAAGCTTCTTAAAAACTAGAGAAGTAGTTTCTTTCTTGGAGAGCAGCAAACCAGGATGCTTTAGCGACTTTAAAACATAAGCAGCTGCTGACCCACATCTACACTGTAAAGAGCTTGGAACTTGGAGCAGACTGCTTGGCTGTACAGTAGGGGCTCCCTGGGAGCTGCCTTGGAGGTCACCACGGCTCCTTGCTTTAGGAAACTTTGAGAGCCCAAGCTGAGAAGGACCTTTTTTGTTGGCTGAGAAAGAAGAATGCGAAAAGTTGGAAGACTTCTTCTGGTGCTTCTCTTTGGACGCCTGTCATGGAGTAAGCCCTGAAAAGTTTTCATTCCTTCCTTCCTCAAATTATCTCCCTCACTCCACAACACTAGGAGAAACCCTGCTTGGAGACCTCAAAAAGCACAGTCCAAGACACAGGTATGTATTATGATACAGAGTACAATTTTGTTGTTCAAATGTTATTTAAATGTTGCACTTTCATAAGCTATAAAGCATGTTGAATGATCTAAAAGTGTGGAAAAGTTCTGTTTTGGGACTGCAACTACCATGATCCTCTAACCCAGCATTTCTCAACTTGAGGGGGTCAGGACCCCTAAGGGAGTCGTGAGGGGTGTCAAAGGAATCACCAATAACACAGTATTTTTTGTCGGCCATGGAAGTTCTGTGTGGGAAGTTTGGCCCAGTTTTATCATTGGTGGGATTCAGAATGCTCTTTGATTGTAGGTGAACTATAAATCCCAGCAACTACAACTCCCAAATGTCAAGTTTCTTCCCCAAATTCCACCAGTATTCACATTTGGGCATATTGAGTATTTGTGCCAAGTTTGGTCCAGATCCAACATTGTTTGAGTCCACATCCATTGTTTGGATTGAACTATAACTCCAAAACTCAAGGTCAGTGCCCACCAAATCCTTCCAGTATTTTCTGTTGGTCATGGGAGTTCTGATTTTATGGTTGGGGGTCACCACAACATGAGGAACTGTATTAAGGGGTTTCGGCATTAGGAAAGTTGAGAGCCACTGCTTTAACCAATATGGCTGTGGGCATGCAATAAATGAGGGATACTGAGGAGTGTAATAAAAAAAAAACTTTTCCAAGGTCTGGTATTATGATAGGCTAAATACTGATCTTGTTGAGAGCCAGCATGGTACGGTGGTTTGAGTGTTGGCTGTGCTGACAGGTTCACTTTAAGATCATTGTAAGTCAGAAATGGCTTGAAGACTCACAACAAGAAGTCACCTGTTGCAGCAGCCAAGGTGTGCCAATGACCGAATGTGCCCAGCTCTGCTCTCTTTTGTGGGGCCCAAAGATTCAAAGATTCAAAGAACCTGATATTTGAAATTGCAATCCAGTAACCAGGTACTCTGTTTCATGACATGGGCTGGATCTGCACTGCCATATATTGCGGTTTCAGACGGCAGATTTACTATGTTGAACTGGATAATATGAGACCCAGCCTTAGTCTTCATTTGGAGTTTCAGAGTATGATTGCTCTTTTACTTTCTAGATTCTTGTGACTGGATCTAAAACTGAATTGGTGTGTGTGTGTCTCTACATGCCAGCCATATTGATTCATCGATCTGAATAGAATTCTCCATTTATCCAGAAGAAGACTTGGAAAATTCCTTTAAAAAAGTAATTTGTTTTCTGTATTGTCGAAGGCTTTCATGGCTGGAATCACTCAGTTCTTGTGGGTTTTTTCGGGCTATATGGCCATGTTCTAGAGGCATTTCTCCAGAAGAAATGCCTCTAGAACATGGCCATATAGCCCGAAAAAACCCACAAGAACTGAGTAATTTGTTTTCATTACTTATTGCAATAATTGAACATAAGAAACAGCACAGTAATGGAAAATAATATACCTTTTGGCTTTATTCATTACTATGTTATTAAAGTAAATGTTTAATCTAAACCAAGCATAGGCAAACTTCAGCCCTCCAGGTGTTTTATACTTGAACTCCCATGTTAGGAGTTGTGGGAGTTGAAGTCCAAAACACTGGGAGGGCCGAAGTTTGCCCATGCCTCATCTAAATCCTACTGTTAACTATTGAGTCTTCTGAGTTTACCTATGTTTTGACTCACCATTCAAAAACTGATTTAATCCGTTTGCTCTAGATGTGACTATGGCCCCTTCCACACAGCTGTATAAAATCCACATTGAACTGGATTATATGGCAGTGTGGACTCAGATAACCCAGTTTCCTCCACTTTGGGTGAAATGTGGATGTGGCCTGCTGTGAATTGTCTCATAGTGCTTGGCAGGCCTTGTCCAAGCTGCAAATAAAAGCGGCAAAACGGTGCTATTTGACCCCATGTTGAAGAGGTCCATGGTTGTGCTTTTCCTCTGTTCTACCTACAAAGCTAATTGGACTTCTGGCTGAATCTTAGCGTGCATCTACACTGTAGAATCAATACTGTTTGTCACTATTTTAACTGTTGTGGTTCAATGTGATGGAACAATGGGAGCTGTAGTCTGGTGATACACCATCACTCTTTGGTAAAACCACAGCCCCCATGAATCCATAGCATTGAGCCACATCAGTTAAGTGCTGTCAAATTGCATTAATTCTACAGTGTGGATCAAGCATGGGCAAACCTTGGCCCTCCAGGCATTTTGGATTTCAACTCCCACAATTCCTAACAGCTGTTTTGGAGGTGAAGTCCAAAACACCTCAAGGGCCGAAGTTTGTCTATACCTGGTGTAGATGCATCTTTAGCTCAGTAAAGGCAATGGGATAGCTTCCCCGCTGGCTACTCCTGTTGCTGTCACCAACATCTTCTACTTCATTCTCCATAATGGTAGGGTTGGTCCAGCAGAGGCTTTAACTACACAGGACCATAACGTCACAAAGCAGCTACATAGGCCATGGTAGTCCACGCTCTAGTTACATCCCGTATAGACTACTGCAACGCTCTCTACGTGGGGTTGCCTTTGAATATGGTCCAGAAGCTTCAACTAGTCCAACGAACGGCAGCCAGGTTGTTAAAAAGGAGCTGCACTCAGGGAGCATACAACCCCCTTGTTGCGCCAGCTCCACTGGCTGCTAGTTTGCTACCGGGCCCAGTTCAAAGTGCTGGCTTTGGCCTATAAAGCCCTAAACGGTTCTGGCCCAACTTACCTGTCCAAATGTATCTCCCCTTATGAACCACTGAGGACTTTAAGATCATCTGGGGAGGCCCTGCTGTCGGTCCCGCTTTCGTCACAAGCACGTTTGGCGGGGACGAGAGACAGGGCCTTCTCAGTGGTGGCCCCTCGGCTATGCAATGCCCTCCCTAGGGAAATCAGATCTGCTCCCTCCCTCTTGACGTTTTGGAGGCAAGTTAAAATGTGGCTATTCGAGCAAGTGTTTACAAATACAGAGTAGCTAATATAGGAAATTGAATGACCTGACAATGGAATTGGACAATGCTTGAGAATAATGAGACGCTGATGATGTTGCTTTTATTGTTTTTGTGATGTCTTATACTATTTAATGTTTTTTATCTATTACGTTTTATGTATACTGATTTGTTGGAAACCGCCTTGAGTCGCCAATTGGCTGAGAAAGGCGGTATACAAATACTGTAAATAAATAAATAAATAAATACATTACTATAGCAGTGGCTGGCATTGTTAGGGCCTCTAAACATCCACAGGAATAGCCCCGATGACTTCCTGCCACTAATGCTATAATAACCTGCCCATCGCTAAGGTTCTCTGTGTCAAAAAGGTCACGACTGGCTCATGGTGAAAGACAGGAAAAGCAAACCCTGTGTTGACATTCCTGGAGAGCTTAAGGGCTTGAAACACCCGCACTGCTCCCTCTCAATTTCTTGTTTGTGCCGGTATCTCTGTACTTAGCCACAGCGCTGGCACGCAGACGGGTAATCCGTCTGGCATGCACCTGTACAAGGCTCCCTTCCTCTCTCCAGCATTTGGGGCTCTTGCCCCCGCATGCATTTGTCTGAAAAGTGAGCCATTATTTCTGTACTGCAGTCCCAGGTGGAGCATCCAGTAAAAATCCCACTAATTGTCTTAAAAAGAAATAGTTCAAGGTCATGTTCCCTCTATTTTCCAATTTACAGACCAAAATACGTAAGCTTGACCATGAACAGGAGTTTTAAAAGTGAAGATTAGAGGGCAAATAGGGGTAGAGAATTCTGGGATCTAGAGTAATAAAAGCAAACCCATATTTATTTTGCAAGCCTTGGTATGAAGTTCTAGAAGAACTCAAGCAATTAAGAATTCTTATCTGGAAATCTGAAATTTGAAATACTCCGAAATATGAGATAGTGACATCTTCGCTTTCTGATGCTTCAGTAAACACAAACTTGCACATATGTAGTGGTTTTGCAGACAATACTGTCTTGTGTCTGAAAGCTTGTAGGTGAAAGTTCTTGGAGGGAAAACATGATGATAATCAGCTTATGGTATTTGCTGGCTTAGAATATTACAAATAGCTGTTATCGTGGATGGAATCTGATAAAAAGAAATTAAGAATAGATATGCTGAGCAGATAGATATACTCCAGCAAAGGATCCCCGCCTTGTCGGGGCGCTGGAGCTTGAGCACCTCAATGATGTCATGAGCGAAACCGTGAAGGGCCACCCAAGACGGGACGGTTGTGGCAGAGAGGTCAGACCAAGCGTGATCCCTGGGGAAGGCAATGGCAAACCACTTCAGTATCCTTGCCAAGAAAACTAAATGGACCAGTACAACCAGAGATATGTCGGTATGCCATTGGAAGATGGGACTCCCAGGTCGGAAGATGGCCAAAATGCTACTGGGGAGGAGCAGAGGATAAGTTCAACTAGCCCCAGATGTGATGACGCAGCTAGCTCAAAGCCGAAAGGAAGGCTAGCGGCCGACGGTACTGGAGGTGAACGACGAATCCGATGCTCTAAAGATCAACACACCATAGGAACCTGGAATGTAAGATCTATGAGCCAGGGCAAATTGGATGTTGTTATTGGTGAGATGTCAAGACTAAAGATAGACATTCTGGGGGTCAGCGAACTGAAATGACTGGAATGGGCCACTTCACATCAGATGACCACCAGATCTACTACTGCGGACAAGAGGAACATCGAAGAAATGGAGTAGCCTTCATAATTAATAAGAAATTCGCTAAAGCGGTGCTTGGATACAACCCAAAAAATGACAGACTGATCTCAATTCGAGTGCAAGGAAAGCCTTTCAACATTACAGTGATCCAAATATATGCCCCAACCACAGCTGCTGAAGAAGCAGAAGTAGATCAGTTCTATGAGGATCTGCAGGACCTACTGGATAATACACCAAAAAGAGACATTATTTTCATTACAGGAGACTGGAATGCCAAGGTGGGAAGTCAAATGACAACTGTGATCACAGGCAAGCATGGTCTGGGAGAACAAAATGAAGCGGGACGCAGGCTGATAGAATTTTGCCAGAAAA